CAGAACTTCATCATTTCTTCACTACCAGACACACTGGACCCACTACAGTTCGCTTACCGTCCAAATCGTTCCACAGACGATGCCATCTCTCATCTCCTCCACACATCACTCACTCACTTGGACACTAGAAGGGGGAATTATGTTAAAATGCTCTTCATAGACTACAGCTCTGCATTTAACACCATAATTCCCTCCACACTCACCACCAAGCTGGAGCATCTGGGACTCAGCTCATCTATGTGTCAGTGGATCTCCAACTTCCTAACTGGCAGACCACAGGCAGTAAGGATGGGCGGACATGTCTCAGCCTCCACCACTCTCAGCACTGGAGCCCCCCAGGGGTGTGTTCTGAGCCCCCTGCTGTACTCTTTGTACACATATGACTGTGTGGCCACTACCAGCTCCACCACCATCATCAAGTTTGCTGACGACACCGTCGTGGTGGGCCTGATCTCTGATAACAACGAGACGGCCTACCTGAAGGAGATTAGGAATCTGGAGAACTGGTGCCAGAGGAACAACCTCCTTCTAAACGTCAGTAAGACAAAGGAGCTGATAGTGGACTTCAGCACTAAGCAGGAGAGGAACTACCAGACCCCCGTCATCAACGAGTGCCCAGTGGAGAGAGTGGACAGCTTCAAATACCTCGGAGTTCACATCACGCAGGACCTGTCATGGTCCTGTCACATCAACACCGTGGTGAAAAAGGCCCGACAGCGTCTCTACCACCTCAGACGCTTGAGAGACTTCCAACTGCCCTCCAAGGTGCTCAGGAACTTTTACTCGTGCACCATAGAGAGCATCCTGGCGGGAAACATCTTAACCTGGTTCGGGAACAGCACCATGCAGGACAGACGAGCTCTACAGAGGGTTGTGCGGTCAGCTGAGCGCACCATCCGCTCCGAGCTCCCTGACCTGCACTCAATCTACAGCAGGCGGTGCTGGACCAAGGCCAGGAAGATCGTGAAGGACCTCAGCCATCCCAACAACAGACTGTTCTCTCTGTTGAGGTCAGGAAAGCGATTCCGCTCCCTGAAGACCAACACAGAGAGACTGAGGAGGAGCTTCTTCCCGCAGGCGATACGGTCTCTCAATCACACCACCACACAGTACTGACCCACACATATGGTTCTTACACACACACTGGACTTTCTGGACTTTGTTTTTGCACAACACTGGTCACTATATTCTTCATTTCCGGTTAATACTTGTACAGCTGCTGTTATTGTGTATATATTTATTTATATTTAGATTTCTTCATACATTCTTATATAGTTCTATATTGTGTATTGTGTATTTTGTTGCACAGTTATTTTATTTTCAACTTTAATTTATATATTTTATCTTATTCTCCCAGTTAAATTTACCCTTCATTCTAATTTGTGTTGTACAGTTATTTCATTTTTAACCTTAATTTATATTTTATTCCTTCCTAGTTAAATTTACCCTTTTTAATTTTTCATATTTATTTCCTATCTTATTCATAGCCTTTTCCTTTTTTGTTTTCTTTAGGTCACGAGCAGTTGTCCAAGCATTTCACTACATATCGTACTGTGTATGACTGTGTACGTGACAAATAAAATTTGAATTTTGAATTTGAATTTGAAACTACTGTATGAATTTAAGGAAACTGATTTCTTCATTGCTGCTCGTGAATGTCCGTCTATCCTTTCACGCCACGTTTACAGAAGCATATCCAAAGAACAAACAATCCACGTGTGCAAAATGATTTTTATTTGATCTTTTGCTCAGTCAAAAACACACTGAATATACAAGCAGTTAGACTGGATCTGATTGCAGCTATATTTCAAACTCATAAACAAACATTTATATAATAAATACTGTTTTTGCCCATGTGCTTAAATGTGATGGCCTTTTCTGTTGGAGCACATTTACAGTACACTATAAATAACTTTAAGAAATTAAGCACATTTCAGGCTGTGACTAAACAAAAAAATCAAACTGGTATAAATATAGGTTCATCAGCAATAACCAAACTCCAGTCTTGTTGTGCAAATATGTATAATTGCAACAACAGTTGCTTCAGGGATGATGAATGATGCAATTTAGCTAACTGACCGGGCACACCAACGTTTTGCATATGGTCACGAGCACCAATCGCCCTGCACTCACTCATGATTAACGTCATGGAAATGAAACTTCATATGTTCTGTGCACGCGCTCAGACCAAACTTAGAGTTTGCTAAACAGCAGCACAAAACCTCCTTCGCTCATTTTACTGTGATGCTATTCAAATATGATCCTGTGTCAGCCAATCAAATATCTCCAAAGGTGTATTCAGTGTGTATCGCTCTCACTAGACGCCAAAGGTCAACGTGACCGTGAACACAAAGGGAGAGAAAACAGAGAATGGCTTTGCATATTAGTTTGTTTCAGGTGATCGCTCTCATTTCAGGACCAACCATCATGGCAGCTGGACAGTGTAGCGGTAAGACCACACACCTTTGGAGCCGACGTCACGAGTTTGATTCCCTCCCAGTATCCAGTAAGGGTCCTGGCTAGGCCCCCCCATGCCGAACAGCGCGGCTGCAGCTCTGACGTTTCACTGCATGTTGTACTCTTTGTGATTGTGACCAATAAAGCTCGTTTCTTCTTTCTTTGCTCCGTGTCCAACCCAACCTAAGCCTGCCATGTGTCTTCACCAACAGTGTGTATAAAAAAAACATCAGTTCTGTCTCTGATAGAAACACATCGCCATGTGGACGAGTGAAACTGACACAGGATCTGATGCTAAACCAAAAGGAAATCCATCCGTTTTCTATCGAGTTCTAGTTTTGACTTAAAGGCCTTCAAATGGGAACAGACGCAGATCACAGGCCCACTCGGTTTGTTTGTGAACCGAGTGAAGCGCTGCATTTAAAGGACATCAAATCGATTCATAGTCGATTATAAGGCCGTGTGTAAATATGTGTGATACTCGAGTGGGTTTAATCAAACTCGCTACCCTAACAAAACACATCAACTGCTCCCAGTTTGAATCATAACTCTGTTCTTTCTAATTCTGATTGGACCAGAGAAAAGTGTCCAAGCTTCAGCAAACAGACAGACCCAGCAGAGCCACGGGCACAAAGAGCTTCCTGTTTCAAATTGGACATTTTAGAAGCAGCCAAATGAACTTTCTCTGGGAATTCATTGGTACGGTGAAAAACAGATGCAGGTGAGTCTCTCCTGTGGAGAAGCTAAACAGACTGTGTGTCAGAAAAGTGTTAGCTTCCATTAGTAATAATGACAGATGTGCCTTTACGCCCAGTGGTCTGCTCTGCTGGTATGCGGAAGTGATCGTAGGGGGTGGAGCCGGTGCTGTTGGAGGTGCAGTAGCCCCGGAGGCTCTCTGGGTCATACAGGTGCTCCAGAGTGTAGCCGGCCAGGGAATATGCTGGATGCTTGTCCAGGTAGGGCCGCGGGTGTGTATGGGAGGGATAGAGGGCCGGAGCTGGTGTTGGGGAGCCTGAGCATGCCCCTGCACGACCAAAAGGATGTAACTGCAAAGAAAGGGGGGGCAGTTCTGTCTGGAGGTAGTCTTTGGGCTTATGGAGACACTCTGAACCTGGACTGTTGAGCTTAGACTGAGGGGCGGGGCTAGGCGTGGGGCTGATCACCTGACTTAAACCTCGACACAACATGGTCTGTAAAGGCAGAGGCCCTTGAGTGTACTCGGGCGTAAAGCACGACCCAGGGCCCTTGGGCAGTCCGTTTGCTGGCCCCAGTGAGGCCTCGGGTGTGGGGCCTTTGCGTAACTGCAGGCAACTTTCTTCTTCCTTGATCATCTGCTGCGTGGCTCGGATCAACGTCTCGATCTTGCTGGGCTCCTGTGGACTGCAGCGATAGCGGTCGGCTCGGTAGCGGTCCCCTGAGTCACTGGCTGAGCCTCCGTCTGGTGAGCTGACCACGCTATCCTCATCCCAGCCCCTGCCTGCAAAGGGAAGCAGTGACAGCAGAGGAAGCACGAATAAGAATTTGTAAGCTTAAGGTTGCTCCTTTCTTCCACTGAGATCTCTGCCAGTCATCAGCTGTAGTCCTGCATCAAACACCAAAACTATTCAGACCCATGACAGTCATGTGACTATCCACTCAGCACACACAGGAGCATCACGCCCCGTGGATCCTGGCTGAAGACACGTGTACTCATGGCTTTACTGCAGATGACCTGTGATCATACAGTGGGGCAAAAAAGTATTTAGTCAGCCACCGATTGTGCAAGTTCCCCCACCTAAAATGATGACAGAGGTCAGTAATTTGCACCAGAGGTACACTT